GTATAAGCCGCACCGGACTATAAGCCGCATGGTTCAAAGTTCAGGAAAAAAGTCGCAGCTTATAGTCTGAAAAATACGGTACTCAACATATATGTTTTTGTGTATTTTCTTTATCCTCCTGTTTGTTTTTGTCATTTCTACTGTAGGTACAGCCTCACGAAGAACCATCATTCTGGATTCTCTGTTTCCACCCAACATACCTGARGGACTTCTACTCCATTTGCTCCATCCACCCCGAAGACGTGATCACTGYTAGAGGAGCAGTGTGTGGCAATGGGAAAAGAAAATGCACCTTCGTCTTACTGTTGAGTTTTGAAAAGGATGTTTCAAACCTGAAAAGCTCAAGAATCAACGGGCCTCTGGAATCTCACTTTATTCAAGTCAGTTTCTTCATTTTGATTTCAGTGTTTTTCCTCACRACTTGGTCCAATGGGGCTGTGCTTTTCAAGGAATTAAAGTGAGTTCTCTGAGCCTCGGCCCTTTCTTTAGGGGAATGAATCAGGGAGAAATTCTTTGAGAGGAAAACTGTCCACATCTGGAAACATGAAGGTTCCATCAGACATTCAACCAGAAAGCAATGGAACAAGAAGACTGGTCAATGACTTCAGGGGGTCTGTTTTATGTTTCTGGCTGAAATTATATAATTATCTGCTGGAGTTCAGGAGTGCCATTCAAACTGTAACTATTTCTGAACAATTTTATGGACAGGRATACTAATGGATGGCCTGCTGGATTCATCTACTATTGTTTTGGAAACAGCCGTACAATCGTTTGCTGCTTTTTGCTGGATCATGTTGGTTATGTAGCTGACAGCTGAGGTGGTTTGAATCAGCCACCAGTGGGGTTCAGGGATGCCCCGACTCAGGAAAACTAAACTACTCTATTGGCCCACAAATAGACTGCTGTTTCTAATACAAGTCCTGGACTGAACCCTTATCCTCTGATCAAGGAAGAGCACCAGGTGGACAGATTTTATTTCCAATGAGTCCAGAGGGCCCTGACATCTTAGCAGCAACGATTTTTTTATGACTGACTCTGACCTGAGACAAGACAACAAAGCACCAAAGCATATCATTATTACAACATTGTTTTTATGTTTCATTTGTTTCCACAAGAACAAGTCTACCTCTGCATTCACATCTCACCCCATCAAACCGTTTTGAGTTGATTTGTTTCTGATAGGTTTTTACATCATCAAAAGCTAAATAACCTCAAGTATAAACAGAAGGGAATAAGTGTTAGACTTTTGTCTAATTGCAAAACTGGGATTTTTCAGATGCACCATTCCAGCTTTGACACTTGTTAAACATGCTTGTACTTTTTGGTACTGTTTTTGAAAATATCTAAAATATACATGCATAAGTGTTTATTTTGTGTTCCTGTAGTGTAGCAGTGGCTTATGCCTTTCCAMCTGTTTGTTCTGGCTGATTTGGAAACAATCACATTATAAGATCATTCTGTTGTCTTAAAWACAGTAGATTCACTCTTTTGAGTGTTTTGGGACAAATAGGATAATCTCGTGTTTTCTACTTGATAGAGAGSCTTTCTTTGGTGTTCCTGGGTCTCATTTGTGTGTCTCCTGTTTTTTTTTTAGCATTTTGTTTTGTTTTGTTTTTATGTCACCACATTATTTTTGCCCCACATTGGACAAAGCTCCTCATGACAAGTTTCTTGTCATAGCAGTTGGTGAGCAAAAGCACAAATCACCACACACAAGAAGTGATGCCAGGTAGCAATAGTAAAAGTAGAGGGAGGGGTCCGTCTTCTTCACCTCTCCCCCACGCTGTGGTCCTAACCAGAAGACCCCTGAGACCCTCGCGCTATGTTCCAGTGTCAGCAGCCACCTTCTTTCTTGTTGGCTCAACCACACTCTTCTTCTGCTTCACGTAAGTGGCAACACACACACACACACACACACACACACACACACACACACACACACACAC